GATGCAAAGATAAAATGCATCCTATCAGGGTAATTAAAGGACTCATAAAATGAGGATGCAAAGATAAAAGCTGTTGCATCTCGGGACATTCAAGAACAACCCCAACAGTTTACTTGCACTGCCTTCAACAAATAAGAAAAATTTATGTTTCTTTACTGTATCTGCATTGACAGTTCTAACAAAGAATTAATAACTTATCTTTTCTCTCCTGTCCAGAAGTCACAAATCAGCCGTATACTGTTAAAAAGATGACTTTTTCCTCTGGGTGTGATGTTCCTTCATAACATCTCTTAATACTTCTTAATTCAGGAGTTAACAACAGTGGTAATCCAGACACACCATGGCACGTTAGTGGTTTACAGAAGTAGGGAGCTGTCAGACTATAGATTTATGGAAGCTTTCTATCCAAGCTGGGCTCTCCAGGGTTTAGCACTCCTTGTGTTACTAGCAATCACGCTATTTTCAGGTAACAGCAACAATCAATTATCTGTTTGCGGCTGTCGATCTTTCAGGGCGGTGTGGCATTTTCTTTGGCTTCATATAAAACATCTGGCTTACTGCCCTACAGGTTATATCATAACTGTGTAATAATATTTAGATTATAACTATAAAATAGTTATATTGCTTTTCTTTTGAGCTAACTAACAGTAGCAATTTTATCAGTTGATTTTATTTGCAGAGAGCCCTGTCTGCGGTGTATTGAACATCCCAATGTTTCTTCTCTCTTGGAAGGGCAAGGAAATAAAAAGATGCAGAAAAGTAAATCACTTTGTTGATCTCAAAACAAAAAGTGTTCAACAGATATTCAGTCTTTGAGGTACATTATATTTTTCTCTCCTCATATTTACAGCTTATTTTAGTGGCCTCCATCTATCTTTCAGATAAGGTATCTTTTCACAGATAAGGATGCTTTCCAATGAAGTTAAAGAGTGCACCAGAGGTTTCAGTACTCAGACGATGGAAATCTTTCCATCTCAACTACCCCGTTTTCAATTTCCTGCTGTGGTATCCACAAGATGAAATCTGTCATTGTCTCAAAAAGCGCAGGTTAAAAAAAACAGGAATTTGAATTGGCTGAAGAGTTCCAGGAGGTAAAATATAAGAATAATAACAATATTCAGGTTCAAATGACAACAAAAATCTTTTTGTTCTATTATTTCTAAAAATTAAATCATACATTTAATGGCTTGGTGACATTTTCAATGTTTTCTCTACGTTTTCTTCTTTATTACTGGAAATAATATGACTAGGGCAAAGTAGGTATTTTTTTTTTAAGTCACGAGAATATTTTTCAAAAATAGTAATTTTCCAATTCAAATAAGTCATGGGAAAAGCTACCTATCAAATCCGACAAATATATTTTATTTGTTTCTTTTCTTTACCTGCCCTCTTTGCCAGCCTGGAAGCAGGAAGCATGTCCCAGGAAAACAGCTCCTGGCTGTCACGCTGCGATCACAGGGCAGGGCTGCGGCAGCGTTTAACAATTAGCGCTCAGTTTCCACAAATAACCCCTTTTCACTAATTGCCGCCCACGCCAGAGCAGGCCGTTCCTTCACGAACCAGTTCGCGGGATGAAAGCTGGAGACCCAGTCGCTGGGAGCCGTGCTGCTGGGCGAAAGGAGGCCAGCAGGTCCTCCGATTCCCGCACGCACCCGAACACAGGGACGGTTGGGAATGTGATGGGACGTGACCAACGCCAGCGCACCCCCTCGGACAGCTTCGGGGGTGGACGCAGAGCGGGGCGCCAAGCAGTTCGCAGGACCTGTCCCTCGGAAGACACGCGCTCCAGATCCCACATCCACAAGTCCTTACAGATGTCTTTTACTGCACGTAAAGGAACTCAACCTCCTCCTTCCCCCCACCCCCCCGCGCACTTCGCGCTTTGGCAGAGGCCAACAGGGGGTCGGGGCAGGGCGCCCGGCCGCGCCGCCG